TAGGGTGCAGGGGGCCAGCAGGGTCTGGAGCGGATCCCAGGACCCGTGGCCCTGACCCCTAGCTACCTCCCCGACTCCGACGCCGACCCGACCCCGACCCGGGGACTCTGGTTGTAATGACCTGGTAACCGAGATGCGACAGATGGACACGCTTTGCAAAGGGCCTATCTTGCAGCGCCGGCTTAAAAGCAAGTCACCCCTTGCCAAACCTCCAGCCTGGACCACTTTTCTCTGCGATCCTCCCCGGGGGCAATCATGGGGAAAAACCTCCTCCAAAACGCTCTTAAAACTCCTCCCCAAAGCCAGCGGGGGTCCGGCGCGGCGGAACCCCCAGACTCGTCGGGAAGCTGCGGGAGCCCGGACCGGCCTACACCCCTCACCCACGACCGCCAACGGTCCCCCAAGAAGCGGCCCCGCCCGGTCGGGTCGCCCGGCACCCCCAGACCCACCTGCGGCCTCGGTTGCCGAGCGCGACCCCTGGACCAAGGGCAGTGACGAGCCCAGCCTCGAGCACCGGCGGAAGCTGCGGGCCGCGGGCGCTACCATCCGTCGCGCCGACGAGGAGACGGGGGGACGCCGGGACGCGGGGACAACATCCCACTGCTTCCCGCCAGCAAGGGAGTCTGAGACCTATTTACCGTCGCCCTTACACCCGTATAACCCCCACTTTGAGGGAATATTCGCGACCTCGGAGGACGAGACTGCGGGGTCTGAGCGCCGTGCGCCCTGGCCACCCCCGCCACGCCGCGCACATGGTACCGCCCGGGGTCAGCCCCGCCCCGCGCGCCCGCCTCCATCGCCAAGATGGCGGCCGCCACCGAGGCCGTCCCGCCGCCGCTCGCCCCGCGTCCGCTCGCCGCCGAGCCCGGGGCCCACTAGGGGCTGGGGAGGGCAGTGGCCGGCGCCGGGGGAGGCCTGACGAGGCAAGTGAAGACGGAAGGAAGGAGTAGGGGGTGGCGGGGGTGGGGGACAGCCAACGCCGACCCCGGCTCCCCGGACGCCCCGCGAGGGACCCAGAAGTGACGGCTGCAGGGACGAGCATCCCGGGCGGCGGCCCCGACTCCCACCCGGGGGATCCCCCCCACCCCCCGCTGCCTCGATGCCCCTTCCTTTGGCGCTTCCGCCGCGTGGACCCCGCCGCCCCTTGCGGGCCGTGGCCGTCGGGCCGGCCACGAGGCCCGAGCGTGGCGGCGGCGGCGGCTTCCCGGTACCGCGACCCCCAGGACGGCATCGGCGCTGGCTTCGCGCCCCCCCGCACCCCGGGCTGGCCTCCTGTGGCCACGTGAGCCCGAGTCCTCCTCCGTTGTCTTTCTGGAGTTTTTTTTTTTTTTTTTTTTTTTTTTAAATTCACACTTACCCGATGTTGCCCGGAAACCTCTGCCTGCCACCGAGTGGCCCGGGAGGAACTTCTCCGCTCCCCTCCCCCCCCCCCTCGCCCCTTGGCGTCCCCGTGGACTTAGTGCCTGTCCCTTCCACCCCTCCCCCCCGTAGTGGACACCTGTGGGTCTGGCCACCGCCTTGGAGGATGTGAGCGGATGCGGGGTCTGCCCTGGAGCCGGAAGGGCGCATGCACCCCGCATTGCAGGAGCCCCCCTGGCTCTGCACTCTGGGCAGCCCCCACATTGCAAGAGCCCCCCACCAGCTCTGCATCGTGGGCATTGCAGAAGCCCCCCTGGCCCTGCAGTGTGGCCACCCACCGGCTCTTGCACCTCCTGTGCACTTGGCGTCCAAATAACTGCCAGGGGACATGCCACAGCGTTATTGGGGAGCAGATGGGGGCCAAGTGCCATGGACGAGGCTCGGGAAAATCAGGCCAGCAGCAGCCCCCGGGCTAGAAGCTGGGGAGGGCAGCGTGCAGGGCTGTGTGAAGCCTAAGGGACCACAGGGATGCTTGGGTCCGAGCTGGGTGTGCCACAGGTTAGATTTTAGCAGAGGTCAGTCACAGAGGGAAGAGAGGGGAGATTGTGTGCACTTTCCTCTTGGATTTGGGGACCCCATCTGGTGATGCTCAGGTTTATTCCTGGCTCTGCACTGGGATCATTCCTGGCAGCCTCCGGGGACCCTCTGTGGTTCCAGGGATAGGATCCAGGTTGGCCATGTGCTAGGCAAACGCCCTACCCGCTGTGTTCCCCAACCCAGCCCCTGTGTACTTTTAGGGTGGTCTCCGACAGCTGGACGGGAACCCTTGGAGCAAGGAAACTAGGTGGGAGGAAGTGGCAGTTGTTCAGGTAAGGTGGTGAGTGAGGCCCCTTCTGTGGTAGGACGCTACCAAGGACGTCAGACCAGCCACGGCTGTGGATGCCGTGGTGAGACGGTGCATGGTTGATGCTGCCAGTGAAGTCACCCCTGGTCTCTATTGGTGCCAGCCTGCTGTTTAGGAGGGTCTGGGTGTGGTAGTGTCCAGACTGGGTCTGGACTCACAGTGGCCACTAGCTCGACGCACCTGTCGTGCCTTGGCCGGCAGTTAGGGTTGGGAGGTGCTGTAAGCAGACAAGATCAAAGCTTAGTGGGAATAGTGACATAAAATCCCTCAGCCCCTGTGAAGTGATGACTGCACCTGGGACGACCTTGACTCTCTTGGGTTAAGTACTGTAGCACTGTAGCACTGTCATCCCGTTGTTCATCAGTTTGCTCGAGCGGGCACCAGTAACGTCTCCATTGGAGACTTGTTACTATTTTTGGCATATCGAATACACCACGGGGAGCTTGCTAGGCTCTGCCATGCGGGCAGGATACTCTCGGTAGCTTGCCGGGCTCTCCAAGAGGGATGGAGGAATCAAACCCGGGTCGGCCCCGTGCAAGGCAAATGCCCTGCCCGCTGTGCTATCAGCCCAGCCTGGGTTAAGTACAGTCTCTTAAAAATCAGGTTACAAGGTGGATTGTGCTTTATTTGCATGTGGCCCTACCCTGGTTTCAAATCCTAGAACCCTTCCTGTATCCTGAGCCTCGCCAGGAGTGCTCCTTGTAAGAGCCAGAAGTAAGTCCTGAATAAAACCGGGTATCCCTACACCCTCAGATCCCCGCCCCCACAACTTTTCAGTGTGGCCGCAAAATATTTTCAGTGTACGTTTGTGGCTTGCAGTCTAGCTTTGTGGGATCGAGTTCTGTTCTGGTTGAAATGAGTGGACAGGGTGGGTAAGATGTGTGAACGGGGCCTTGAGGTGAAGGGGGCGAGTCCTGAGCCTGGGATGTCACTGTGGCTCCTTTCTTTGCTAGGTGATCGTGGTCAGGTGCTTGCTTGCTTCAAGCAGCAATAGGCCTTGGGGGAATTTTGAGCTTGGGCTAAGGTACAGGGTGTTTCAAAAGAGTAACCCGGAAGCCGGGTTTAGGTCGGAGGCAAGAAACAGAAGCGTCCGTGTAAAGGAAGCAGGCCTGGCCTCAGGGTGCTGGTACTCGGGATGGAAAGAGGCAGGTGGACTTGCAAAGTGTTCTGGGAGAAAGAACATTCCATAACAGGCTGTTCAGGAAGAAAAAGACTCAAACACGAAGCATTTCTAGGCACAGTTATTTAGTTAGCGACTAATGAGTCTATGGCATAGAGTACAGTAGAGTCCACTGTGGGCTAAAGAAAATCTGGTTCCAGAATAGAGTCCCAAGAAGGGCAGGGGGTGCTGCGGTCAGCGGAGTCATTCCCTGGGCATCTCCTGATCCAGCAGAAACATCTGTGTTCTGTCGTCTGACTTGATAACAGACCTTACAGTTCGGCTGTTCCCTGGAGAAGCAGGTCGATGCCTGCCAGGTCTCTTGTCGTGGGCGGTTTCCTAGTCACAGGCCTTTGCATTATATTTCTTTCCCTTCCTTCCCTTGGTGGGGTTGGCGCCGTTGCTTTTTGCTCTGTCGGGGTATTGCAGACCTTGGTTTCCATGCTGGAACACCTCTTGGTGTGGATGTGGGCAAAGCTTCCCTGCTGTGGCCTTGAGGGTTACACCAGCGGTGATGCTGGGATTGTCCTGGGCACGTAGGTCGGCGGCTGTGGTCCAGCGCCATCCTCACGCCTGCACGGAAGGCTGCAATAGTGAAGCCAGTCCTGCAACCCATAAGATCTGCCCTTGTATGTTTTGCTTCTATCACAGTTTTCCAGGCCTGGGGCCAGAGCAGAGCTAAATAAGTCCACTTAATTAACAAACTTTTTTTTTTTTTTTGCTTTTTTGGTCACACCCGTCACTGCACAGGGGTTACTCCTGGCTCTGCACTCAGGAATGACTTACCTTGTGTTTGGCCTGCCAGGTTCCATTCTTGGCACCCAGTATGGTCCCTGAGCACCACCAGGAGTAATTCCTGAGTGCAGAGCCAAGAATAACCCCTGAGCACTGCCTGGTGTGGCCCCCAAACAAACAATTGTATTTCCTGAACTGCATATTTCACCCCCTGGTTATCACCAACATTGCATGTTACTTTTGTCTTTTTTTTTTTTTTTGCTTTTTGGGTCGCACCCGGCGATGCACAGGGGTTACTCCTGACTTTGCGCTCAGGAGTTACTCCTGGCAGTGCTCAGGGGACCATATGGGGTGCTGGGGATCGAACCCGGGTCAGCTGCTTGCAAGGCAAACGCCCTCTCTGCTGTGCTATCTCTCCAGCCCCTGTCTTTTGTCATCTTACCCTTGTTCTTTGCAAGGGTCAGTTTGCAGCCAACTTCTTCAATAGTCAGAGCTCCTCAAATGGTCAGCTTGGTTGGTTGTTGTTTGAAAAAAACTACTGTATGTTACACAGCCGTATGTTTTATAACTGAGTAATTGCTGGTGTTCATCTCAGGCATGATTGAAAACGAATGCCATAATTGAAAATAAAAAGTTTGGGGTCTGAGCGTGCTCAGTGGGCTGAGTGAGACTTTCCGTGCTAGACATCGGGGTTTGAGTCCCAGCACTGCATGTTCCCCTGAGCCCTGTCTGTCAGGAGCAATCCATGAGCACTGCTTGGTATGGCTCTGACCCTCCCCCCCCCCCAAAAAAAAAATGTCTTACTACTTTCATGACACTGATATCTTAATTTTTTTTTTTTAGATTTGTAAAGAATTCTTCCTTTGAATTCATGGTGTTTGAGCCCATGTATGACTGAGATATAAAGTAAGTAATGAATATCAGATACAGCTTTATATACTGAGAGCAATTATAATAGCAGTGTCTTCTGTTGAAATCTGGGTTTATCTGCAAAAACAAACAAACCAAAAAAAAAAAATGGTTTTACCATGCACTCATCAGTTCATTCTGTAAGACACTGTATTGGCACCATATATGGTCCCCCGGTATTACCAGGAGTATTTCCTGAGTATAGCCGATGTGGTCGAATCCCTTCCCCCTCCCACCTCTCTCTCTCTCTCTCTCAAAAACCAAAAACCCTATCTGCTGGGGCTGGAGCGATAGCACGGTGGGTAGGGTGGGTAGGGCGTTTACCTTGCACGCAGCCGACCCAGGTTCGCTTCCCAGCATCCCATATGGTCCCCTAAGCACCCCCAGGAGTAATTCCTGAGTGCATGAGCCAGGAGTAACCCCTGAGCATCACAGGGTGTTCGCTGGGTGTGACCCAAAAAACAAAGAACGAAAGATATAGAACTCACTGGTGGGAATTGAAACAAAGTGAAGGAAAGAGTCCACTGAAATGCAAAGCCCTGGGGCTGGTGGGGTTGAGTCCTGTCCCTTAAAGGTGGATGGCTAAAGGAGGATCAATTAGCAAAGGAGGCCAAGGGCCAGTGAGAGGGCAAACCAGGAGTCAGCCCAAAGGCTGCGCATTTGGAAGAGCTTTCATTGAAAACTGCTACAGTTTCCAATAACTTGGCACAGAAAAACATCTAGTGGCTTAACACTGCCCAGAGGCAAGCAGTGTTTCTTTTCTTTTCTTCTTTTCTCTCTGGTCGTACCAGGAATCGACCCCAAGGCCTCACTCTGCCAGGGACATGTCAGCCCCTGAGTTCTGTCCTGGCACTGCTGTCTTGGTGGAGAGGTTTTTCAGCCCCCTCAGCGAATGCCCTTCTGGGACTGTGGGGAGGAAGGGAAGGTCATGGTGACAGGAAGTCTGAGAAACGTTGGTCTGACGGGACCATGGAGAAATCGTGCGGTGGGTGGCTGGGCCGGGGAGGCCTTGAGGGATGAGTCCATCCATTCAGAGAACGTTTAGGTACTGAGGACATTCACCAACTTCCTTTTTGGTGGTGGTTGGCTGTGGGTGGTGGTGCTGGTGGGGGCCATAGCAACCAGTGCTGGGCCCACTTCTCACTCTGTCCTTGAGAATCACCCTGGTCAGTGCTTGGGGGACCATGAGGTACCAGAGACTAAGCCACAAACTCCTAACCCCTGTGCTCTCTCTGGTCTCCAGCTTTCCCTTCATCTGTCAGCGCTCATCCAGTGTGGATGGGGGGACAGAGGTGATTCATTCATTACCTATGTAATTAATTAATTTGTTACATAGGCTGATTAATTTGTCTTGAATCACAGAGGAGTTTGACATCTATGGATTTGTCGAGTCCAAAGCCCTCTATTTCCTGTCAAAGCCCAGTGGGGTGCCCTTGGAGAATTTCTCTTTTTTCCTTTTTGGGGGTCACACCTGGCGATGCACAGGGGTTACTCCTGGCTCTGCACTCAAGAATCATTCCTGGTGGGCTTGGGAGGACTGTATGGGATCCTGGGAATCGAACCCTGGTTGGCCATGTGCAAGGCAAATGCCTACCTGCTATGCTATCACTCCAAGCCCCAAGAATCTCTCGAGTGACAAGGCTGTGTGTATCTGTGATTTTAAACCTAGCCAGTGATGGGGCTGGGTCTTTCATTTGCTTGCCGTGCTTACATAATCTCTGCCTTCTTAGAAATCTGAGGCAATCTTAGTTCATTTTTTCCGTTGGGTATATCAGGCCCTGCCTTTATGTGTGACTGTTGTTTCTTTTGCAGGAATCTTTTAGATTGTCGTTACTGGACCAAGAAAAGGAAGATGACGTCTATTATCAAGTTAACTACCCTTTCTGGGCTCCAGGAAGAGTCTGCCCTTTGCTATCTGCTCCAAGTGGATGAGTTTAGATTTTTACTGGACTGTGGCTGGGATGAGCACTTTTCGATGGATATTATAGATTCCCTGAGGAAGTGAGTTCCGTTGCCTTTTCTAGACTCCTAGTACTTCGACTTCTCTTGATGGTAGTAGCTGTTTTGATGTTGCAGTGTTTGCTTTTTTTTTTTTTTTTGTCTGATTTAGTTCACGGCAGAAAAAAACCTCTGTCTGTGCCAAAGAACCAGTCAGCAACTGTCATCTTACTCAGTTTGACTTAACAGCTGCATTGGTAGGAGTTCGGCACACTCTCACTTGTAGATTGTGACTGTGACTTGCCTCTTGGATCTGCAAGAAAACTTGGCACCCTACTTGTAGGAAAGTGAGATGAAGTCTGTAAGAATTTGGAGAGAGGAAACGCCTTCCATGTGGGCTTGTTACTGCCAGCGCACACACATGTCCTTTCCGTGTCTCAGTGCTGGGCGCTGAGCATTGGTGCTCAGAGGAATAGATCATTCCAGACTCTGCTGACCCGTCAGAAACAAAATCCAGCTCTGTACTAATGATGGGAGGAGAGAGGACTATAAGAAAATGAGAACTTGGGTCTGGAGTGATAGTACAGTGGGGAAGGCTTTTGCCTTACACACGCCAACCCGGTTTCATCCCCGGCATCCCATATGGACCCCTGAGCACCACCAGGAGTAATTCCTGAGTGCAGAGCCAGGAGTAACCCCTGATTGAAAAAAAGGAAGAAAATGAGCGCTTGGAACAAAAATTTTCTTCAGTTTGTTTTGTCAGTTCAATGATGAATTTAGGTTTTAGTACAGTGAACTTCATTGGTATGGTCTTAGTATAATGAACTTCATTGATTAATTCAGATTTTATTATATTGAACTTCACTGATGAATTCAGGTTTTTGTATGTTGCTGCCAGACATTAAGCTAAAAAGAAATCTCAGGCAGAAATCTACAATGGGGTTTGGAACAATAGCACAGCAGGTAGGGCGTTTGTTTGCCTTGCACGTGGCCAACCCAGGTTTGATCCCCAGCATCCCATATGGTCCCCTCAGCATTGCCAGGAGTAATTCCTGAGAGCAGAGTCAAGAGTAAATCCTGAGCATCACTGGGTGTGACCCAGAAACAAAAACAGTAACAAAAATCCACAATGAAATGGGTCCTGTTGAAATAGTCTCTCAGCAGTATCTGAGTTGCCAGCTGACTCTGAGATCTTGAACTCAACGCAGTTGTTTGAAACTAACTTCCATGATGGCATCCTGTGTTTCATGCCAGTATCTCCAACCCGTTTCCGTCTGTGCAGCTTAAACCATGCGTTGCCACTCAGACGTTAGGATTGTATCGACAGTTGGGATTTTGGTGATGGAAGTCAGTAGGTACCATGATTCTAGAGCTGAAGTTTTGCTCTTTCAGTTGGCATTGTCGTTATTCCAGAATTCTTCCAGGCGTTTGACTTGGCCAGTGCGTTTCTTTTTTTTTTTTTTGCATGTTGGGTCACACCTGGCAATGCACAGGGGTTACTCCTGGTTCTGCATTCAGGAATTACTCCTGGCGGTGCTTGGGGAACCATGTGGGATGCCGGATATCGAATCCGGGTTGGCCATGTGCAAGGCAAACGCCCTCCCTGCTGGACTATGGCTCGGGCCCCAGCCAGTGAGCTTTGAGCATCCACCCTGTCTCGTGTTCCTAGGAAGCTTGGCGCTGTGGTCACTTTGCTTGTGTTCTCCTAGGCATGTGCACCAGATCGACGCAGTGCTGCTGTCGCACCCGGACCCTCTGCACCTCGGAGCCCTCCCATACGCCGTGGGCAAGCTGGGGCTGAACTGTGCAATCTACGCCACCATCCCTGTGTACAAAATGGGACAGATGTTCATGTATGATCTCTACCAGGTAACGCAGGCAGCACAGCCATCCCTTGCTTGTGCAGTTCCGGGAATTGAACCCAGCGCATCTCCGTGGCATCGAGGGGACAGGGTGTCACGTAGCCAAGGCTGGTGCCCCCCACTGAGCTACATCCCTGGCCCCATAGGGATCACTTCTTACTGGGGGATCTCCTGAGCTGTGTTCAGGGGCCCAGGGGCCACCTCGGGCTGGACAGTTCCATGCTCAGGCCCCAGAGCTGCAGGGCCGCTTGCACTGTCAGTGCTGGAGGCATCTTGCGGTGCCGGTGTTCAAACCCTGGCCCGGGACAAGCTCTTGCCCTGGCCCTGCACACTTCACTTCTCACCTTCTATTTGTATTCTTCCCCAGTCTCGACACAACACGGAAGATTTCACACTCTTTACACTGGATGACGTGGACGCTGCCTTCGACAAAATCCAGCAGTTAAAGTTTTCTCAGATTGTGAATTTGAAAGGTAAAACCCGTTTCTAGCGGTCAAGAATTGGACTAAATGCAGTTTTATTTTCTGAATAGCCCAAGAGGGAATTTGTTGTAAAAGTTACAGCCAGTTTGGGGGAACTAAAGCTTAGTGTCGTGTTTTAAAAGTAAAGCATCTTGGGGCTGGAGAGATAGCACGGCGGGTAGGGCATTTGCCTTGCACGCGGCCGACCCGGGTTTGATTCCCAGCATCCCATATGGTCCCCTGAGCACCGCCAGGAGTAACTCCTGAGTGCAGAGCCAGGAGTAACCCCTGTGCATCGCAGGGTGTGACCCAAAAAGCAAAAAAAAAAAAAAAAAAGTAAAGCATCTTGAAATAGGGGAGAAACGAGGGAAAAAACATTATAGTAAGACCTGAAGAATAATACATTTTTTGGTGGAAACAAATATTCCAGACTAGATAGAGGCAGAGTGGTACAGACTCAGGCCTTCACACACTTGACTTGGGGACGGTCTTATTTCATGTTTGTGGTGTGGCCAAAGGCCAGATGGATGAGGTGCTAAAGTAGATCCTATGAGTAGATCCAGTGATTGGAGTTACCATAGTGCTGGCAGCACACAACAGGGAATGACTTCATGTTCTAGAATTGCACATTTAAAAGTGTATTATTTCATTACATCAGGAAGTCCTAAGTATCTTTTAAAAATCACTTTTTTTTTAAAATTAATTTGGGAGGTGTTGTTGTTTTTTGAATCACCACAAGTTTGTGTGGGGCCGAGGGTAAGACAGAGAAGCGACCAGTATGACGGTAATAGCTGGGAATGTGATCACGCTAGAGAAGATCTGAGGGTTAGAAGTAGGTAAAGGGATTTTCTTGATAACCTTTCAGTATTGCAAACCATAATGCCCCAAAGGTGGGGGGGGGTGGGAAGGGAGGGAGGGGAGAGAAAAGAAGAGAAGCGCCTGCCATAGAGGCAGGCAGGGGTGGGGGGTGGAGAGTGATACCAGGGAATCTGGGACACTGGTGGTGGGACATGTACACTGGTGGAGGGATGCATGTTGGAATACTGTATGACTGAAATCCAATCATGAACAGCTCTGTAAGGGTCTATCTCACAGTGATTCAATTAAAAAAAAGTTTTTAAAAAGTTAAACTTTGATAAATATAAATTAAAAAATTACCTTTTTTTATTTGGCGGGGGGGGGGGTGGGGGTGGGGCATCACTGCCTATGATGCTTAGGGGTTACTCCTAGCCCTGCACTCAGGAATTACTCTGGGGACCATATCAGATGCTGGAAATTGACTCGGGTTGACCATGTACAAGGCAAATGCCCTACTTTCTGTATTATTGCTCCAGCCCCTAAAATTACATAAAAAAATAAAGGTGGCTCCCCTGGTGGTGCTCAGGTAACCATGGGGTGCCCTGGATCTAACCAGGGCCTTTTGCAAGCACAGGTGCTCTGAGCCTGTTGAGCTATCTCTCCAGTAACTGTTTGAACATTTCCATAATTGTGAACGTTGGGGTTGAAACATAGCAATGAACTTTGAAGATCTGACCAGGAAGTAGCAATCATCTCTGCAGTTTCGAGTGTTGTTTTTTCATTTATTTGTTTTTCTTTGTTTTGGGGGTGGAGGAGGCCCAGTCCTGATCCGAGCAGGCTTGGAGATCTCAGCCCCGGGTCCTGCACACCTGGTTTCCTCTGCTGGTTCCTTCATGCATGAGGCTCGTCTGAGCATGTGGAGAGTGGTCTCAGCATGATTCCCCCATCATCCAGTAGCTAGACAGTTGTGCCCATCAACTGCCATGTAATTCCACCAACGCCAAGATCCAGAGACTATAAAATCAAGCTCCCGGAAGTGTGTGGCCGCATTTGCGGCCGCACAACCTTTTATTATCTAGTTTTCACTCTCAGAGAACCTGGCGGGCTACGGAAAGTATCCTTCCCGCATATATGCTTGACTGGGAACACCTGTAAAGGTGATTAGAGGTTGCCCCCAAAAGATTCCATCCCTCTCAGAGAGCCCGGCAAGATATTGAGAGTATCCCGCCCGCACGGCAGAACCTGGCAAGCTACCCGTGGCGTACCCGGATATGCCAAAAACATATGATATGTCGAAAAAAGTAACGATGTTCCTCATTCCCCTGACCCTGAAAGAGCCCCCAATATGCCATCGGGCTACACTAGCATGTGTCGGGGATGAATGGAAGCATTACTGGCGCCCACTTGAGCAAATCGATGAACAACGGGAGGACAGTGATACAGTTTTGTTTTTATTTGGGGCCATACATGGCAGGGCTTAGGGTTTACTCCTGGCACTTTGGGGAACGACACGCAGTGCTGGGGATCAACCCTTGCTCTGCCATGTGCGAGACCTTAACCCCAGCACTATCTCTTGGGCCCTCAGCCGTTTTGACTGCCCTTAATCATTTTTGTGGGAGGAGGGATCATTATACTTCATAATAATGATAATTTGCATTATTGCTTTAGCAACTTAAAACTTTGCAAAGTGAGGGGCTGGAGCGATAGCACAGCGGGTAGGGCTTTTGCCTTGCACGCAGCCAACATGGCCGATACGGTTTGATTCCCAGCATCCCATATGGTCCCCTGAGCACTGTCAGGAGTGATTCCTGAGCGCATGAGCCAGGAGTAACTCCTGAGCATCGCCCGGAGTGACCCAAAAAGCAAAAAAAAAAACCAAAAAAAAACCAAAATAACAAACCTTTGCAAAGTGAGAACACTTGGTCTAATAACTGAAATTGTTGTCCAAAATAATACATTGTTTTGTACAGATTGCCTATTAAATCCATTTAGAGGTAAAAGGTAGCTAACCAGCTAATCTTTCTTAGGGTTATAAAATAAGTCTCTGGTTATTACCGTTTTCTTCTTAACGTAGGTAAAGGACATGGCTTGTCCATCACCCCTCTACCAGCTGGTCACATGATAGGTGGAACCATATGGAAAATCGTCAAGGATGGAGAAGAAGAAATTGTGTATGCCGTTGACTTCAACCACAAGAGGGAGATGTAGGTATACCAGGACAGAAGCTGAAGGGAACGCAGTTGTTAATTCTTTTTGATGGAAAATTAGAAATGAAGTAATGTTTTATTTCTTTTTTTGTTTTGTTACTTTGGTGATATGAGGTATTGAACTATGGACCTCAGGCGTGTGAGGTGAATTTTTTTTTTTTTTGCTTCTTGGGTCACACTGGGCAATGCACAGGGGTTTCTTCTGGCTCATGTACTCAGGAATTACTCCTGGCGGTGCTTAGGGACCATATGGGATACTGGGAATTGAACCCAGGTTGGCCATGTGCAAGGCAAATGCCCTATCCTCTGTGCTATCGCTCCAGCCCCAGTTAAGTAAATTTTTAACCAGAAAGCTAGGACAAGTTAAAAGAATCAGATAATGAGTGTTTTAAAAATTGACTATCATATTTTCTTTATGTGGAAAATAATTTGATATGAAACAAAAATTATTTTAATGATGCACTTTTTTGGGGGGGTTGTCACTAAACTTACTTTTTTTTTCTTTTCTTTTTTTGCTTTTTGGGTCACACCCGGCAATGCACAGGGGTTACTCCTGCTTCTGCACTCAGGAATTACTCCTGGCGGTGCTCAGGGGACCATATGGGATGCTGGGAATTGAACTCAGGTTGGCCGCGTGCAAGGCAAATGCCCTACCCGCTGTGCTATTGCTCCAGCCCCTAAAGTTATTTTTTAAAAATTTAAAAAAAAATTTTATTAGTGAAACACCATAAGGTACAGTTGTAGACTTACAAATTTTTGTGCTTGGGTTTCAGTTATACAATGATCGAGTACCAATCCCTCCACCAGTGCCCATAATCCACCACCAATGATTCTAGTAGCCCTCCCACCTTATCCCACAGGGCATATCTGTGGCAGGGCATTCCCTTTTGCTCTTTCTCTCCTTTTGGGTGCTGTGGTTTGCAAGAGAGGCATTGAGTGGCAATCACGTTCGGTCTATAGTCTACTTTCAGCATGCATCTCCCATCCTGGGAGGATCCTCCCAACACCCTTTATTTGGTGCTCCCTTCTCTATCTGAGCTGCCTTTTCCCCTAGCATGTGCGGCTGGCCTCCAAGCCATGGAGTAAACTTCCTGGTACTTATCTCAGCTATTCTTGGGTGTTGGTCTCCTATTTTCTTACTTTATGTTCCCCAGATGAATGCAATCTTTCTATATCTGTCCCTCTCTTTCTGCCTCATTTCGCTTAGCATGATACTTAACAGTGATACTCTGAGAAGTACTTGAGTTGACCCATCTGGTTGAATCTTTCTGGGAAGAAAAAATCTGGAAAGCTCTTCAGTAATATTGTCTTTTATGGTAAAGAACATCCTAGGATTGTGTCCTAAAGAAGTTAAAAACAAAAACAAAAATGATAATTGAATCTTTTTTTGCAAAAACATTTTTTTGAGAGTCAGAGTCTAGAACATTGGTGCTTGCCTTGCATGCGACCAACCTGGGTTCAATCCCTGACATCCCTTATGGTCCCCCGAGCACCTCCAGGAGTAATTCCTGAGTGCAGAGGAGTAATGCTGGTGTGACCCGAAAAGCCTAAATAAATAAATAAGTAAAAATGTAAAACTAGGTTTAGGGAAACATTTTAAAATTGTTGAAGAAAACCAAAATTTAGATCTGAGTATGCGAGGTATAGCCATGGAATATCATCTTTGTTTTGTACAGAATAATGTACAGCAGAAGATATTATCAGTTATCCCAGTACTGTGCTCGTGAAGATTTTTATTTTATTTTCCTCTGTGCTTTTTTTGTTTTGTTTTGTTTTCAGGACCACACTCAGCGGTGCTCTGGGCTTACTCCTGATTCAGCCTCAGGGTCACTCCCGGCAGGCTTTAGAGGACTATATGGGGTGCCGGGGATCAAACTAGGGCCAACCACATGCAAGGCAGATGCCTTACCCAATGTGCTGTCTCACCCACCCCTTCCTCTCTGCTTTTTTTAGAAACGTACCAGATTTTCTTATTAATGAACTTTTTTTTTTTAATTAGAGGAGGAAATAAAAGAAGCGGCTTATTTGGGGGGGGGCGTGAGAAGTATTGTTGATTTGAAGTAATATAAAATAATTCTCTTAAATTCCATTACAGCCACTTAAATGGATGTTCCTTGGAAATGCTGAGCAGACCCTCCCTACTGATCACAGACTCATTTAACGCCACGTACGTGCAGCCCAGGAGGAAGCAGAGAGACGAACAACTTCTGAGTGAGTGTCACACTGTGTGCCTTTTAGGGCTGTGTCCGACCTTGTATGTCTGAACTGCTTGAATTAACCCCTTGTCTCACCAGCAGGTGGGCAAACGTTCTCTCCCAGTCTGTGGGATCTTTTTACTCTAGTCGTTGATTCTTCTGCCGTGCATAAGCTTTTTAAATTTCATGTATTCCGATTTGTTCATCTTTGTTTCTGGCCGCTTGGCGTCTAGTTTTGAGTCATCGAAATGCCTCGAGGTTTACTGTCAGAAAGGGGTTCTTTTTGTGTTTTTCTCAGTATTCATTTGTGGGCTCAAGCCAGCAGTCGAGGTCTTTAACCCATTGGTAATGCATTGTGAGTGAAATAGGAGTCTGAGCTCGTGTTTTTCACATGTGACTGATCAGTTTTCCCAGCACCGTTCATTGAAGCAGCTCTCCTTGCCCGCTGCATACTCTGCTCTGAGGGTCTGTCTCTGCACTCCCAATTCTTTTCCACCAATCTGAGGGTCTGACCTTATTCCAGTACCAGACTGTCAAATTACTATAGGTTTACGGTATAATTTAAAGTTAGGGAAAGCAAAGCCGTCCATCTTCTTTTTGTTTGTTTTTTGTTTTTGGGGTTACACCCGGCGATGCACAGGGGTTACTCCTGGCTCTGCACTCAGGAATTACTCCTGGAGGTGCTCAGGGGACCATATAGGATGCTGGGAATTGAATCCAGGTCGGCCTTGTCCAAGGCTAAGTCCCTATCTTCTGTGCTATCACTCCAGCCCCTTCATCTTCTTTTTCCTTAGTATGGTTTGGACTATTTGGGATAGGGGTTATCCCATACAAATGTCAACCATTTGGTGTATGTCTGTCAGAGATTGATTTTACCAAGTATTTTCAAGCAGACTGTCAGCCGAGGCAGGTTATAAAGGTATTTTTTGTTGGCGGAGGTTTATGGGCTATAGTTTACTATGCTGATTGTGTGTGTGTATGTGCGCGCGCACGTTTGTGTGTATGTGTATAAATTTGTAAATTACAAAGAATGAAGTTCCTTCTTGAGGTGGACAGGTGAGAGTAGACTGGCGGGAAAGCTTAGATGTGGTGCCTTTGGCCTAAACATCCTGAATTCCCAGCATCCCATCTAGATAATACCCCTGTTAAGTGGAAAGTGTTGGGAACCACTGATTGAGAATTTTTCAGGAAAAAGAATTAAGAACTTCTGACACTGGGGCTGGAGCAATGGTTCAGTAGGTAGGGCGCTTGCCTTGCATGTGGTCAACCCGGTTTTGACCCCTGGCATCCCATATGGTCCCCTGACCCCTGAGTGCGGAGCCAGGAGTAAGCCCTGAGCACCACTGGGTGTGACCCAAAAACAACCACGGAAAGACATTGCTTTTCACTGCTATGGAGATACACTGTAGCACTGCACCGTTCTCCTGTTGTTCATCAGTTTGCTTGAGCGGGCACCAGTAACGTCTCACAACAAATTGTGAGACTTGTTGTTACTGTTTTTGGCATATGAATACATCTTGGAAGCTTGCCAGGCTTTCAAGGGGGCGGAGGAATCGAACCCAGGTCGGCCGCTTGCAAGGCAAATGCCTAACCCGCTGTTGCTCCACCTCATGGAGATATACTGAGCAATATTTTTAAAAAAAGAAATAAAAGAAAAGAAAAGAAAAAGAAAACAGGCAAATGTAGTGAGTTGAATGCAATTCAGTTACCTTGCTCCTGACCAGTAATGAGAGCAAATTTTTATCTTCGGGGGTTGGGCTACATACTCAGGGCTTATTCCTAGCTCTCTTGCAACACGGTCTCTGTGGTGAGGAACGGGGAGGCGGGACTCTCTGCTCCTGCAGCGAAGTCTTCGTCAGGCTCTCCAAGCGTCTCATTCTTGTTTCCTAGCAAACGTCCTGGAAACGCTGCGTGGCGACGGGAATGTGCTCATAGCAGTGGACACTGCAGGCAGAGTTTTGGAGCTCGCCCAGCTGCTCGATCAGATTTGGAGAACTAAAGATGCTGGCCTGGGCGTCTACTCCCTGGCCCTGCTGAACAACGTCAGCTACAACGTGGTGGAGTTCTCCAAGTCCCAGGTTGGTTTCCTGTCCTTGGCGGTGAAGTTTGCTGCGGTGATCAGACCTGAAGAAAATGGTACCTTTGTTCCCTCTGGCTCCCTGTTTCTCTTTTAAAGAGGTTGTTGATGATGATGGTGAGAGTTAGAAATGAACCACTGACTCTTGTGCATGCTTTGCAAATTTTATTTCATAGATTGCTTATGTGTCTTAAGAACAAATTTTTATCTTCGGGGGTTGGGCTACATACTCAGGGCTTATTCCTAGCTCTGTGCCCAGGAATCACTCCTGGCAGGTTTGGGGGAACTTATGGGGTGCCGGGAATGAAGCCCAAGTCAGCCACATGCAGACACCCTGCCTATTGTACTATCTCTCTTGCCCTAACAGTTTATATATATATATATATATATATATATATATATATAAAAATATATATACTGGGGCCTGCTCGAGGCAATCGACGAACAACAGGATGGTCGTGATCGTGATCATGATATATAGAGCGGATAGGGCGCTATCTATATATCACGATCACGATCATCCTGTTGTTCGTCGATTGCCTCGAGCAGGCACCAATAACGACTCCTTCGTCCTAGCCCTGAGATTTAAAAAAGTGCCATATTCAAGGCTGTCCCAGATTTAGGAGAATGAGACCCATCACTGTTACTGGTATTTGGCATATTGGGTACGCCACGGGGAGTTTGCCAGACTCTGCCATGTAGGCAGGCTACATTCGGTAGCCTGCCAGGTTGTCCAAATTAAGAATGAGATTATAAGATGTCACGTGGCTGCAAATATATATATTTGCCTTTTGGGTCATACCCGGTGATGCACAGGGGTTACTCCTGGTACTGCACTCAGGAATTACTCCTGGCGGTGCTCGGGGGAACCATATGGGATGCTGGGAATTGAACCCTGGTCAGCTGTGTGCAAGGCAAACACCCTACCTGCTGTGCTATTGCTCCAGTCCTAGAGTTTATATTTCTGTCTTCATTTTACAGATGGGGCAAGTTCCTTCTCCTGTAACTCTTTGTTTCCCAGTCTTTAAAATTGAGGCCAGGGGTCCAGAGTGATAGTACAGTGGGTAGGGCACTTACCTTGTATGCGACTGACACAGGTTCAATCCCTGGCACTTTTTTTTTTTTTTAAATTTTTATTAGTGAAACACCATGAGGTACAGTTGTAGACTTACAAATTTTTGTGCTTGGGTTTCAATTATACAATGATCAAATACCCATCCCTCCACCTGTGTCCCTGGCACTTCTTAAGGTCCCCTGGGCACCACCAGAAATTATCACTGAGCACAGAGCCAGGAGTGAGACTTGAATACCACTGGGTGTGACCCCAAAGCAAACAAACAAAAGAATAAAATTGGGGCAAGGGTGTGTGTGGTAAAGTTTCTGCCCTGTACACATGAAATCTGAGGTTGACCCCTGGCTCTGTAAACCTGGAGGTGGGAAGGGAAACAAAACCAGAACCTACTTTGCAGGATATAAATGTTAGAATTTAGTTTTCTTTTCCTTTTGAACTAGTTCTTTCAAAATAGCAATCTCTGGAGTGAGGTGTTTTTTTGTATTTGGGCTGAGGTATTCTTTTAGAAATTACATGCTAGGGCCAGAGCGATAGTACAGCAGGAAGGACATTTGCTCTGCACGGGGCCAACCCAAATTCGATGCCCAGCATCCCACATGGTCCCCCGAGCACCACCAGGAGTAATTCCTGAGTGCAGAGCCAGGAGTAACCTCTGAGCATTGCTGGGTGTGGTTCAAAAACAAAAGAAAAAAACATCACATCCTTCTTAGGAAGACTTAGGAAGACAAGACCTGAAACATAATGCAAAATAGGATTTTGAGAGATGAGCTACCTGTGATGTATTCGATATGCCAAACACAGTAACAACAAAGTCTCCAATGGAGACGTTACTGGGCCCGCTCCAGCAAATCGATGAACAACAGGAGGACAGTGACAGTGACAGTGATTATCGGGGGTGGGGGGCTTGAATCGGGAGCAGGAGCAGAAAACCAGCAAACCATCTGCTTACCAAAAAGCCTGCACGTGTCGGCAGCCACTGGTGGGGACAGACACAAAAGGAGTTGGAAGTCCCACGCTTCGGAGTCTCTGACTGCTGTCGAATTAAAAGTCCGCCCAGGGTGTTGGCTAACCATTGTCGTCCCCCGCTCTGTATCAGGTAGAATGGATGAGTGACAAATTGATGCGATGCTTCGAAGACAAAAGAAACAACCCGTTTCAGTTCCGCCATCTCTCCCTCTGTCACGGTCTGTCGGACTTGGCTCGCGTCCCGAGCCCCAAAGTGGTGCTGGCCAGTCAGCCCGACCTAGAGTGCGGATTCTCCAGGGACCTCTTCATCCAGTGGTGCCAGGACCCGAAGAACTCCATCATTCTCACTTACAGAACCACCCCTGGGACCCTGGCGCGTTTCCTCATTGACAACCCCACCGAGAAAATCACAGAAATAGAGGTGAGCCCTGGAGGGGGTGTGAGGATGCGTTCCGCATCGTGGTTGTGGACTGACATCAGTGGCCAGAGAATAATGTTTGAAATGGCTAAGGATTCTTACTGGACTCTTGATAGTTCTTCCTGTTTCTTTATGTTTTTGAGCCACGCCTGGTGATACTCAGGAGTTATTCTTGGCCCTACACTCAGGATTCATGTCTGGTGGTGTTCAGGGGACCCTAAGGGATGCCAGGGATCGGACCCAGGTTGGCCACACACAAGGCAAACGCCCTCCCCACTGTGCAATTGCTCTGGCCCAATAGAGAGTTTTAAATGGCGTGAATGTCAGCTCTTAATTGAAAATTCTCTTGCTCAAACCCTTCTGGACCCATATCCATAATCACCATATTCTCAACCTCTCTTCAAGAACTTGCTTTCGTTTCCTCCTTTCATTGGAATCTGGCTCTTTCTGGCTGATGTCCTTTTTTTTTCCTCTCTTGTAGATCTCTGTTTTTTTTTTCAATTTTTATTTTTTTCTGTTTCCTTTCATGCTTTCTGTCCTTTGGGTGGACTGGGCCTAGGGTCCTTGTTCTGTTTGGAAGCTTTCAAGTCATTTGTCTTCCTTCTCTAGTTCATGCCACCAGACTCAACAGTCCTCGACCTCTCTTCCGGTCATTCTCTCACTCTCTGCTGATCTTAGCCCCTGGGTCTCATGGCCTCTTCGCCCCTGCTACTCAGGACTTCTTTCTTGATTCAGTGGTTCTGGGCCCCTTCTTTTTTCTTTTTTTCTTTTTTGTGGTTTTTATATATTTTATTTTTATATATTTAAAAGTCACTGTCACTGTCCTCCCGTTGTTCATCGATTTTCTCGAGTGGGCTCAGTAACATCTCCATTGGAAACTTTGTTGTTACTGTGTTTGGCATATCGAATACGTCACGAATAGTTCACAATATTTCATTACAGATAATATTCAAACCCCACTCCCACCACCTAGCACTTTCCCACCACAGTAAGAGGGAAATATGTGAAGGTTGTTGTATTTCATTCTGGAGCCATTTAAGCCCATATATGAGAGATTACAAGCATGTATGTTAAAACCAAGCAAATGTGTGCTACTTTTGGTACATAAGTGGACCAGTGTACAAGAGGTGGCGTGGCCGCAAATGTGGTCACCCACTCTAGGAAATTCCGTGTTGCTCTCTGCCTGGAGCTTTAGTTTATAGTCTCTGGGTCTTGGCTGTTGATGAGATTACATGGCTCCAGGGCCATGTAATGTGGGTGTGACTGCCAAGCTACTGGAAAACTGAGGAGCTTGGGGGGAGGAGGCTCAGTCCCGATCCAAATGGGCTTGGAGGTCTCAGTCACAGGGCCCGCATACCTGGGTTTTTCTGCTGGTTGAATGTCCTCTGTGTCTGTACCCAAGAAGTTGATTACTGACATTAAACACATCGCCCACCGTGTGGACAAGTTCTTTTTTTTTTTTTTCTTTTTGGGTCACACCTGGCATTGCACAGGGGTTACTCCTGGCTTTGCGCTGAGGAATTACTCCTGGTGGTGCTCAGGGGATCATATGGGATGCTGGGGATTGAACCCGGGTCAGCTGTGTGCAATGCAAATGCCCTACCTGCTGTGCTATTGCTTCAACCCCACAGACAGGTTCTTCACATTCTTCACCCTGCATCTCAGAACGCCCCGCCCATCCCTGTGAGCATCCTGTGAGGTCCCCCAGTCGGACGGTGGCATCCCTTCTCTCACCAGGCCTTGGCTCCCCTTGCCCACAGAACATAACCTCGTTTCTCACCCAACTGAGAGGTAGAGGCAAGGAGACAGACCCCACCCCCCTCCCCAGCCCTGGATGATTGAATTTTAACCAGTTTGATTTCATCCAAACCTACCTTCTAAGTAAATGACCGCTCAATTTTGGTACCAATCTAAATAGCATCTGTATCAGGTGTAATGGAAACTTGGATAATTTCAGGGATTCCTGAAGTTCCCTGATTCCCCTAATGCCCGGAATGGCCTTTTCTCTCTCGTCAGCTGAGGAAACGTGTGAAGCTCGAAGGGAAAGAACTGGAAGAATACTTAGAAAAAGAGAAACTAAAGAAAGAAGCTGCTAAAAAACTCGAGCAGTCCAAAGAGTGAGTTATTTTCAGACAGAGGATAAATTCATACCTGTCACCGGGGAACTTAGTCATTGGCCTTGGGGCCAAACCCAGCAGTGCTCGGGGCTTACTCTTGGCTCTGTGCTCAGGGCACCCAGATGGCTTACTCCTGGCTTTGTGCTCAGTGACCCATGTGGTCACGCCACAGCCAGTCTTGAGATGCCTTATGGGGTGCTGGGGATCTCACCTGGGTTGCCCACATGCTGGGCAAGTGCCCTGCCTGCTGGACAATCGCTCCAGCCCTGGAACTATAAAATAAGACCTAAAAGCATAACTGAAAAGACATAGTTAGTATTATTATTATTATTATTATTATTTTACTTCATTTTCTATATTTCCAGTGGTGCCAGAATAAACATGCTTTTTTTCAGTGCTCATATGAATTTTTGTTTTGGTGATTGACAGTTAAGAATAAGCTTTAGAAAATGTCAACATGATATTATTATTTCCTTTGACTTCTGGCAAGCTACCCGTGATGCATTCGATATGCCAAACACAGTAACAACAAGTCTCATGATGGAGACGTTACTGGGCCCGCTCGAGCAAATTGATGAACAACGGGAGGACTGTGACCGTGACTTCATGTCCAGTAATATTAATTGAATGGTGATAGGAATCGGAATAACTTTATGATGGATGTGGAGTGTCGGGGGGCTCTGACCTTTCTCCGCTCTCGAATCCTTCCAGGGTAGATATAGATTCCAGTGATGAGAGTGACGTCGAGGAAGATATTGACCAGCCGTCGGCTCATAAAACCAAGCATGACCTGATGATGAAAGGGGAAGGGAGCCGGAAGGGGAGTTTCTTCAAGCAGGCCAAGAAGTCCTACCCGATGTTTCCTGCCCCCGAAGAAAGGATTAAATGGGACGAATACGGAGAAATTATCAAGTATGTCAGCCCAATGCACCCTCCTTCCTTCCAGATCCGAGGGCGACCCGGTTTCAGTTGGAGCTTACGAATTTCTTCTTGCTGTCATCATACACGTTCGCTAGTTTTGAAGGGCCTCAGTTTGAGATGAGAAAGAGAGAACTTGTTTGAAAGGCAAAAAGAAAGGTAGAGGAATATCTGCAGAATTGCGATTCAAGGGGCTGGAGCAATGGCACAGCGGGTAGGGCATTTGCCTTGCAGTGGCAGACCTGAGTTTGATTCCCAGCATCCCATATGGCCCCCTGAGCACTGCCAGGAGGAATAATTTCTGAGTGCATTGGCGAGTGTGACCCAAAAAGCAAAAAAAAAAAAAAAAAAAAAGAATTGTGATTCAAGGAAAACTGGTAGTTTTATTGCATAGGTGTGTGAAAGGCATGAAAAGATAATCTTTTCTCCCCACTGAATGAGAGGCAAGAGGGCAGGAGAGATCGTGTAGGGTTTATTTGCATATGGTTGATTCCCCGCCCTCCACCCTGGTCTCATCTCTGCCATCACGTATGGTCGCCTGAGCACAGAGTGACTCCTGAGCACAGAGCCAGGAGTAGCCCCTGAGCACCATTAAACGTGGCCTGAAACTACCTCGACCCCAATTCCCCCCCAGTAACAATAAGGAAGAGATAAGGGGCGTACATTGAAGAAAAACACAGGAAGGGTTTCCGATGGATTGTGGACAGTGAGTGCGTTACCTCTGGGGAGTGGCTTCTGTCTTGACCATAGTGTCGCCTCTTTTAGTTGCAAGAATATGAGACAGCCTGAGTAGAATCATGGGCAACCTGCAAAATTTACACTTCCTATTGAAAAGCAACTGAAGTCATGAGTTTCATCCGAACTTTGAAATCTCTGCTTTCCTGGCGAAAGCTCGGACCCTTGAGGGTACCTCTTGCCTTCTGGCGACTGTTGAGTGCCTTCGCATGGTGTCCTTTGTGACCTGGGTTTCCCTGTTATGCCCCCATTATACTTCAGTTTGCGTACATGTGTAGGTACCGGATATTTCTGTTTTCTTTATTTTATATATATGCATATATATGCATATATATATACATATATGTGTATACATTTATATTCTATATATATATTATTGAATCACCGTGAGATACAATTAAAAAGTTTTCATTTTCAGTCATACAGTGATCGAACATCCATCACTGGGTGTGACCCAAAAAAGCAAAAAAAAAGAATATTCTAGACTGAGTGCTGAAAGGAGGTAGTGATGTACATGATGATGTTTCAGTTACCTGTATTGCCCAAAAGGAGAAGAGGGATTGAGGGGAAGGGAGAGAGGGAGAGAGAGGGAGAGGGGAGGGGAAGGGGGAGAGAGGGGCGGTTTGGTGGGAGAGTGAGGGGAGAGAAACTATGGACATTGATTGGACACTGGTGGTGGGAAATGTACAACTCTGTAACTGTGTATCTCACCGTGATTCAATTTAAAAGGGGTGGGGGGGGGGGGTGTAATTTAGAATCTATCTGGGCTTTAAAACACAGCAGATGAGCTAGTGAAGAGGCCCAGACAGGTCACTGAGAGTGACTCGCATTAATTGCTGCTGCAGCTTGCCCTGAATTCAATAGTTTTTCCCTCAGTGTCTTTGGCTTTCCTTGCTAACTCCCAGTCCTTAAATATCTCAGGCTTCCTTTGAATTCAGACCCACTATCAGAGGCTGGAGCGATAGTGCAGTAGGTAGGGCTTTTGCCTTGCACGCAGCTGACCCGGGTTCGATCCCCAGCATCCCATAGGATTCCTGGAGCACCACCAGCAGTGAGTCCTGAGTGCAGAGCCAGGAGTAACCCCTGAGCATTGCCGAGTGTGCACCCCCTCCTTCCCCCAAAAGACTCCTATTATTTCTCCGACCCAGAGAAAACTAATTCGTCTCTGTTAACCCCTGGACCCACAGAAAGTTTTCCTCAGCACAACAGGAAGACTGAGGCACAAAAACGTACTTCCGTCTGTCACCCCATGTAGTTCTGTATGATTTATAATGTTCGCTCGCTGGTCACTCCTGTTAATGAACACTTTCCTGTCCAGACCAGAGGATTTCTTAGTGCCAGAACTTCAAGCCACTGAAGAGGAAAAGAACAAGTTGGAATCTGGCATGACCAACGGCGATGAACCCACGGACCAGGATCTGTCGGATGTCCCCACCAAGTGTGTGTCTGCCACCGAGTCGATTGAAATCAAGTGAGTGTTCACTGAACTTGGCATAGACGTCCCAAGACAAAACTTCCGGTCCTCGAGTAAGGAATATATGTTGTTTCAAAGGTGACGTTTTAAAATACCCGCTAATGAGTTTGTGCTTTTGAATTTTGTTTCTTTTTCCAGGCAAAGACTTGTGAACTGTTGCAGTACTTTCTCTTTATTAATGACTTTTGGATGTCAAAGATTGGAAGTGGGGCAGGGATTAAATAGTCAAATTGTATTATTTATAGGTTAAAATATGCACTTTCTGGCCTTTTAAAAAAGTTTGGTAGCAGGTTATCTTAAGCAGTTTGCAAGTTTAATTTTTCTCTGTGCCGTTCTATAACTGTGCCTCCTTTTCTATTTTTGCATAGCACTCATTTCATGAAAAAAAAAATTCTTTTGAGGACAGTGGCAGAAAGTGAACCCAGGGCCCCACATACACGAGGCATTTACTCACCAGTGAACTGTATCCTAACTCTTTAAAACTCTTTTTCTTAACTTAAAAAAAAAAATTAGGGGGCCGGAGAGAGTGTATAGTGGGTAGGGCGCTTGTCTGCATGCAACAGACCTGGTTTTGAACCCTGGTATCCCATATGGTCCCCCAAACACTGCCAGGAGTGATTCCTGAGTGCAGAGCCAGGAGTTATCCCTGAACACTGCTGAGTATGGCTCTAAACCCCTCCCAGTTTTTCTTTTTTTAATTTTTTTTTGTTTGTTTGTGGGTCATACCCGGCGACGCACAGGGGTTACTCCTGGCTCATGCACTCAGGAATCACTCAGGGGACCCTATGGGATGCTGGGAATCGAACCCGGGTTGACCGCATGCAAGGCAAATGCCCTGCCCGCTGTGCTATTGCTCCAGCCCCCCTCCCCCAATTTTTATTGTAAATTAATTTTTTTTTTTTTGTTTATTGGGGTTAGACTGGGCAGTGCTTGAGGCTACTTGTGGCTCTGGTCAGGGAATTGTCTCTGGTGGAACCGGGCAATGCCAGGGATCGAACCTGGGCCTCCTGCATGAAAACACGTGCTCAGCCCTTTCAGCTTTCCTTCTGGCCCAAAACTGTAGCACTGTAGCACTGTCCTCCTGTTGTTCATCGATTTGCTCGAGCGGGCACCAGTAACGTCTCACAACAAATTGTAAGACTTGTTGTTACTGTTTTTGGTGTATCGACTACGCCACGGGGAGCTTGCCAGGCTTTGCCGTGCGGGCGGGATACTCTCGGTAGCTTGCCGGGCTCTCCCAGAGGGGTGGAGGAATCGAACCCAGGTGGGCTGCATGCAAGGCAAACGCCCTACCCATGTTTTTACATTAAAATAACATTGCACGGTACCAATTTGTAGATTTGAGGTCATGCATTGCTATAAATCAACAGGTATTGGATAGAATAAGTCACTCAGCCACTAATTCACCTGTACAATGGGGGTGTTTTTACCCACTTAAACCACCCTCCTCTTCCTCCTGCCTTCTGGCTGAGCTAGCCTTCCAACCGAAAAACAGCTGGATGCTCGCTTGTCTGTCTGTTGACGCCGGGAACAGACCCAGGACCTCATCCTCACAAACGATGAGCTCTGCAGCTGAGTCATGTCCCCAGGGCTGACTCTGCCACTTGACTCCAGCATCTTTGGGGTTAGAAATCTCATGGTTGGCCGCAAGTCATTAAGAAACCCGCTTTTCCCTTTTTGCTTATTACAGTAACTAGCACAAATGAATTATCACCTGGGAACTTTTATTTATTTATTTAATTTATTTATTTTTTGGGTTATACCCAGCGATGCACAGGGGTTCCTCCTGGCTCTGCAATCAAGAATTACTCCTGGCGGTACTGGGGGACCATATGGGATGCCGTAAATCGAACCCGGGTTGGCTGTGTGCAAGGCAAACACCCTACCCGCTGTGCTATTGCTCCAGCCCCTATTTTATCTTTTTTTTTGCTTTTTTTTGAGTCACACCCAGCGATGCTCAGGGCTGACTCCTGGCTCTGCACTCAGGAATCACTCCTGGCGGTGCTCAGCCAGTCCCTATTTTAAAAATTTTTAATGAAATACCTTGAGATACAATTACAGACACACTTTCGCAATTACATTTCAGTCACACAAAGGTCGAATACCCATCCCTCCAGCAGTGCCCGTTTTCCATCCGCTGATAGTGTCATCTGGGAATTTTTTAATTTAAGTGCCAGAGGGGCCAGTGATTTAGTTGTTCTGATACCATTTAGCGACTATCCTGGACTGTGAGAAAGATCCATTGACATCATAATATACATATAAGCCTCTTGTTCTCACGTCGGGGCACCTTGGCAGAAGGGTAACCTTGAACACTCCCATCTCCTTTCAGAGCCAGGGTTACTTACATCGACTACGAGGGACGCTCTGACGGCGACTCCATCAAAAAAATCATCAATCAGATGAAACCACGACAGCTCATCATCGTGCACGGCCCGCCGGAGGCCAGCCAAGACCTCGCCGAGTGCTGCCGCGCGTTCGGGGGGAAGGACATCAAGGTGTACATGCCCAAGCTGCACGAGACGGTCGACGCCACCAGCGAGACCCACATCTACCAGGTAAACAGCCGAAGCTTTGCGCCAAGGAGCAGGGAGTGAGTCTCTGCTGTGGCCAGGGCAGGTACGTTTGGAGTGCGGAGGGGAGGAAGACAGCCAGGATGCCCTGGCCCCGTGGGTCTTTTTTTTTTTTTTCTTTTTGGGTCACACCCGGCGATGCACAGGGGCTACTCCTGGCTCTGCACTCAGGAATTATCCCTGGTGGTGCACAGGGGACCATATGGGATGCGGGGACTTGAACTCAGGTGGGCCGCATGCAAGGCAAACGCCCTACCTGCTGTGCTATTGCTCCAGCCCCTGCCCCCGTGGGTCTTAACTGGCTATGCGGCTCCTCACAAGGAAATGACACTGGGCACGCTATTATCTCCTTCCCATGGAGGGGATAACATGCACTGAGCATGGAGAGAGGCCTGCCCAGGTTTGGAGAGTAAGGTAATGGGAACTAAGCCAAATCTTTAAAAAAAAAATTGTTTACTATTTGTGTTGGGCTGGAGCGATAGCACAGCGGTAGGGCATTTGCCTTGCACGCAGCCAGCATGGCCGACCCGAGTTCGATTCCTCCGCCTGTCTCGGAGAGCCCGGCAAGCTACCGAGAGTATCTCGCCCGCACGGCAGAGCCTGGCAAGCTCCCTGTGACATATTCGATATGCCAAACACAGTAACAACAAAGTCTCCAATGGAGACGTTACTGGGCCCGCTCGAGCAAATCGATGAACAACGGGAGGACCGTGACTATTTGTGTAAGGCACAACTGCTGGTCCTTCAGCTCTCTTCCCAGCTCAGTGCTCAGGGGTCACTCCCAGGGGTGTGTTTGGGCTAGCATTCTGCCGCCCTCAGGGGAACCTTTTTTTTTTTCTATATTAGTTAAACAGCATGAGGTACAGTTGTAGACTTACAAACTTTTGTGCTTGGGATCCAGTCATACAATGATCGAGTACCCTTTCCTCCATCAGTGCCCATTCTCCACCATCACTAATCCCAGTATCCCTCCCACCCCCATCCCCCCCATCCCACCCTGCCTTTGTGGCAGGGCATTCCCTTTTGTTGTCTCTCTCCTTTTGGGTGCTGTGGTTTGCAAAAGAGGCATTGAGTGGCAATCATGTTCGGTCTATAGTCTACTTTCAGCATGCATCTCTCATCCTGGGAGGATCCTCCCAACACCCTTTATTTGATGCTCCCTTCTCTATCTGAGCTGCCTTTTCCCCCAGCATGTGCTGCCGGCTTTCAAGCGGTGGAGCCGACCTCCTGGTACTTATCTTGGTTTTGGTTTTCTGCTCACACCTGGCTGGACTCAGGATTTACCCCTGACTCTGTGCACTGGGGGGGATCTGGCAGGCTGGTGCCAGGTTGAACCCCGGCCGGTTACATACAAGGCTAGCTCTCTCCCTAAGCTGAGTGTTGATGTATATTTGAGAAGGGGCTGTACAGGGTTGTCTCGTGAATCGGAGAGAGGGCAGAGGGCTCCAGGCATAGAGAATGGCATTTGCCAAAGTCAGGAGGAGCACAGGATGATGAACCACTGTCTCTAGGGTCCTGGAGGAGGTGGGGAGGTTTGACTACCTGCCTGGCAAGTGAGTGGCAGTGAGGTCCTGGGCTGAGCCCTGTGTGCCTGGTGCAAGAGCTCAGCAGCGCCCCCTGTCTGCGGGCCCTGGTGCTGCCGGCGGTTTCTGGCTATGACCAAGTGTGTGCCAAGGGGGGGGGGGGCGGGACTAGTTAAGCGGGCATGAGAGCACCATGGCCAGGGCGTGTGTGAGCCCTAGCACCTTCCCCCCTCAGGGACCACTGTGGCCGGGAGTGTAGGCGCCACACCCAGACATGGGACCCCGTAAAGCAGCGCAGCACAAATGACGAGACTGCGGGCACCACTGCCTTGGGGTGTCCATGCTCTGGGACCAGTAACCCTGCATCGCCCCTGAGCACCACCTCCTCAAACCCTAGCGTGGGAATGCCCAGCTGGTTTCGAATTACTGGATTGCAAGGCCCCCTGAGCCCTGCTAAGAAGGCCCTCCCACCCCCAAGAGAGAAAAACAAAAAGCAAAACCCAGAGAAACTTTGTTTTGGAAAAGAGGCCCAGGGACTGCAGGAGCTGGAGCTATTGCACAGCAGGGAGGGCCTTCGCCTTGCACGAGGCCAACCCGGGTTCGATTCCCAGCATCCCATACGGTTTCCCTGAGCACCACCAGGAGTAATTCCTGAGTGCAGAGCCAGGAGGAACCCCTGAGCATCGCCGGGTGTAACCCAAAAAGCAAAAAAAAAAAAAAAAGTCCCAGTGATGTGGCAGGCATTGGTCTGTGGGTGGTCAGGGCAAGGGTCAGGTGGGCACTATTCTGAGACAGGCCCCCGAGGGGGTTGTGCTGACCTGTCCATCCCTTCCTCCCTCCCCCTCGCCTGTGCAGGTGAGGCTGAAGGACTCGCTCGTCAGCTCCCTTCAGTTCTGCAAGGCCAAGGACGCCGAGCTGGCTTGGATCGACGGCGTCCTGGACATGAGGGTCTCCAAAGTGGACACGGGCGTCATCCTGGAAGAGGGGGAGCTGAAGGACGACGGGGAGGACACCGACATGCAGGTGGACCTGCCCTCGGACCCTAGCGTCCTCGCCCAGCAGAAAGCCATGAAGAGCCTGTTTGGGGACGACGAGAAGGAGGCGGGCGAGGAGAGTGAGATCATCCCGACACTGGAGCCTCTGCCGCCGCACGAGGTCAGGACGTGGCACCCCCCCCCCACCCCCGACCCCCAGTGTGGACCCCCAAGTCCACACCCCACCGTGCCTGGGCCCCTGCGCTGCTGGCGGTCAAACATCCAGGCTCCGGCTGTTTCTGCTTGGGACCCGTCTGTTTGTGCCGTTGGAGTTTTCAGTAAGGTCACTCGAGGCCCTGATGCTGGTGGGGTCCCCAGGGGACAGGCGTAAAGTAAGGAGGGGAGAGAGGTGGTGCCCCAGTGCCGTTTCCTTCCTTTCCACCGTGGCCAACCCAGGAGTGCCTGGGAAACCTCGGGGTGGGAAAGTTTATGATAAGGCCTGCACGGCACGGACCTCCCGACCCGCCAGCCCCGCTTGGTGGCCACCAAGCCGCACCTCATGTCCACTTGTTCCTCTACAGAGTTAAGTCCACCTGGACGTGGGTGGGAGAGAGGAATGGCCTTTTTATTTTTTTTCTTTCTTTCTTGAATCACTGTGAGATATAGTTACAAGCATTCATGTTTGAGACTCAGTCATACAAATATCGAACATCCATCCCTCCACCAGTGCCCGTTTTCCACCACCAACGTCCCCAGTGTCCCCCACGTTCCCCATCCCAGTCCTCACCCTGCCTCGATGGCAGACAGTTTCCCCAATACACTCTCTCTACTTTGGGGCATTATATTTTGCTCGAATTTTCCCACCACCACTCAAGCCTGCCTGCCAGGGGCAGATGCTAGATCATTGATCATTTTCCGTTTTCCGTCACTCATTTTGAATTTCATGAGGGGTCACTCGGACACGCTAACGGGAGTATGCTTCTGGAATTCTGAGATTGTAAATGGTTGGAGGGGTCCAGAGACATCTCTGTAGGCACTAATCCATGTGGGGATTCAGTGGGGCGTCTCTGGACCAGGGCTGTGGGTGCGCTGAGATGGCACCCAGAGGCAGATTGTGGGGGTGACAGCCCGACTCCTCTGCCACCGTGCAGCCTGGAGACTTAGTCCTGGAACCCGCATATCTGGGCCTTGCTTGTGGAAGCTCTTGGTCACCGGGATTCCATCTGGCGTGGGAGGAATTGCCCTTGGCGGGAGCACGGGCTTCTCCAGGACAGAGTGGGAGTCCCCGCACATGGCCAGGTGTCAGGAGTGAGCAGATGGAAGCCACATCCCCAGAAGGCCCCAGCGGGCGACACACATGTTCTGGTGCCACCTGCACTCGGCAGTAGCACGGGGAGTGGGCAGCCCTGGACTCGGGCAGGCAGTGCTCGCCCCCTTCCTTCAGGCCAACTTGATGGGGTTCTCCCAAGCCGTTCCCTTCCCCCCCCTCTACCCCCCAGGCCTTTCTGCCTAGGGAAGAATTGGTTGCTATAGTGGATCCAGCCTTCTCCGGCACCATAAGTCTTTTTTTTTCCATGTTTATTACAAAGATGGCTTTATTTTATTTTCTTTTTTATTGAATCATCATAGTGAGATACACAGTTTCAAAGTTGTTCATGGTTGAGTTTCAGTCATACAGTGTTCCAACACCCGTGCCTTCACCTGTGTATAACATATCCCAGCACCAGTGTCCCCAGGTTCCCACCCACCACCCCACCTGCCTCTGTGGTAGGTGCTCCTTTCTCTCTCCTCTCTCCCCTCACCCCTTCTCACTCTCCCTCCTTCCCCCCTTCTCTCTCTCTCTCTCTCTCTCTCTCTCTCCCTCCCCCTCCCCCCACCCCTTTTGGGCATTATGGTTTGTACTACAGATACTGAAAGGTTATCAGGTATATTCCTTTACCACTCAGGAGCGATAGCACAGCAGGTAGGGCGTGTGCCTTGAACCCAGCCCACCCAGCTTCGATTCCTCCGCCCCTCTCGGAGAGCCTGGCAAGCTACCCGTGACGTATTCAATATGCCAAACACAGTAACAACAAAGTCTCCAATGGAGACGTTACTGGGCCCGCTTGAGCAAATCGATGAACTACGGGAGGACAGTGACAGTTTTTGTCCAAAAAAGATCATTTCAATCTGTTGTTGTCATCCTGCTCCCTTCTCCACCCTCACCGCCCTCCGCTCCCCCAGAAGCTCTTGTGGCAGCTCCCAACCACTGGCCAGCCCTCCCGACCCCAGGCCTGATCAGGCCTTAGTTCCCATGGACACAAGGCGGGTCCTGACAGCCATAGAGTTGTTGGTTTTCTCATTTGCAAGAACCTGTTGCCATGGGGGCCTTTTTGCCTGCCTGCTTTAGTGTTGTGTGTGTGTGTGTGTGTGTGAGAGAGAGAGAGAGAGAGAGAGAGAGAGAGAGAGAGAGAGAGAGGAGAGATACTTGGAGGGCAGGAGGGTTGGGGGTGGAAATGGTTTATTTCTCATTTTTGTTTTGGGGCCACACCTAGTGGTGCTCAGGGCTCACTCCTCTGCTCAGGAATCACTTCTTTTTTTTAAAAAAAAAAATTTATTTATTTATTTTTAGATTTTTATTAGTGAAACACCATGAGTTACAGTTGTAGACTTACACATTTATTTTTATTATTTATTTATTTATTTATTTATTTTGCTTTTTGGGTCATACCTGGCGATGCACAGGGGTTACTCCTGGCTCTGCACTCAGGAGTTACTCCTGGCGGTGCTCGGAGGACCGTATGGGATGCTGGAAATTGAACCCGGGTCGGCCACGTGCAAGGCAAACGTCCTACCCACTGTGCTATTGCTCCAGCCCCCCAGGAATCACTTCTGGCAGACTTGGGAGACCATCTGGGGTGTCTGGGGTAGGGCCTGAGCTGGCTGCGTGCAGGCAGGTGCCTCCCTACTCCACTGTCTCCCAGGCCCCGGGAATCATTTATGGGAAATTTTGTGCTCGACAATACTGAAAATAGGAGATTTAAGCTGCACATCTTGTAAAGGTGGCAGTGGGGGTTAGGGGCGGTAGGAACACGGTGGACAGAAACCGTCTCTGGTATTAGTGGTGGTTTTAGTGTTTAAATGGATGTCTAAAACTCAGCAGTAAATTTGTAAATCACAGTTCTTTAATTAAATGAAAATTGTGGGTTTTTTTTTTTCTTTTTGGATCACACCCGGCAATGCACAGGGGTTACTCCTAGCTCTGTGCTCAGGAATCACTCCTGGCGGTGCTCAGGGGACCATATGGGATGCTGGAAATCGAACCCAGGTTGGCTGTGTGCAAGGCAAACGCCCTCCTTGCTGTGCTATTGCTCCAGCCCCGGGTTTTGTTTTTTTTTTTTTAAAGAAAACTTTGTAACAAATCTATAAGGCGGGAGATTTTTTACCCCCCTTTCTGATCCCTTTTAATTAGTTTATTTTCCTACTATCTCTGTGGGGAGGTCTAGGCCACGTCTGGGGGTGCTCGTGGCTTACTCCTGGCTCTGTGCTTAGGGATCACACCTGGCAGTGTTCAGGGATCAAGTCAGGGCTGGCTGTGTGTCACACAAGCTCCCTGTCCACCATACTATTTCTCCAGCCCAGATTTTTGGCTTTTTTTTGTTTGTTTTTTTGGGGTCACACCTGGTGATGCACAGGGGTTACTCCTGGCTCTGCACTCAGGAATCACTCCTGGCGGTGCTCAGGGAACCATATGGGATGCTGGGAATCGAACCCGGGTCGGCCGCATGCAAGGCAAACGCCCTACTCGCCGTGCTATCTCTCCAGCCCAGATTTTTTGGCTTTTTAAGCACATCTTTTGTATTCCACTTGGTTATCAAGTCGTTTTTGGTTCAGATACAGTTAGAAATCTCCTATTAAGTATAGAATTCTGGTCTCGTTCTCACGAGATAGCTGGTTCATTGGGGAATGTTTGAGGTAATTAACTGTGAACAATAATAAAACTCTGTGTCGAGCCTTCCATGTGGGTCAGAACTGATGTCTGTAAGCTTCCTGCAGCAAAGGCCTGGAAAGATGGCCTCTGTCTCCGGATTCCCTAACAGTGCTCTCAGGAGTCGGGAAGCCGGGTCAGGATTGGGTTTCCTGGGCTAAGACCAGCCCCCTTCAGAGCAGTTCAGAGTAACTGCCTGAGGTATAGCCACTTCACATGCCTTTCTTGTTTTGTTTTGTTTTGTTTTGTTTTGTTTTTGCTTTTTGGGTCACATCCGGCAATGCTCAGGGGTTACTCCTGGCTACTCCTGGCTCATGCACTCAGGAATTACTCCTGGCGGTGCTCAGAGACCATATGGGATGCTGGTGTGATCCCTAAGTACAGAGCCAGGAGTAATCGAACCCAGGTCAGCCATGTGCAAGGCAAACGCCCTACCCACCGTGCTATTGCTCCAACCTCTTCTCATGCTTTTTTTTTTTTTTTCCTTTTTGGGTCACACCCAGCAATGCACAGGGGTTACTCCTGGTGGTGCTCAGGGAACTACATGGGATGCTGGGAATCGAACCCGGGTCAGCCGCATGCAAGGCAAACGCCCTACCCGCTGTGCTATTGCTCCAGCCCCCTCTCATGCGTTTCTAATGGAAACCCCTGGCAGCCATTTTAATTCCCTCTCTGGGAGAGGGGACACTAAGGGGGGATCTGGGGAGCGTTAGCTTCTCCGCTGAGCCAAGGGCTGGATCAGGAAGAGGAATTTCTGGCTCTGCCTGCTGACACTCTGGTTGACCCCCAGAGGCACGTGGGTGAGGGAAGTGCCTCTCATTACCGAACATCCCTCTGTCATCCTCCCGCATGACTAATAAAATTGATGGGGAAACATTCAAAAATGCGGAGAGCTTTTGTAATGCTAAATAATGAGGTAAAATTCAGAATCACGGCTTGGGACGTGAGTTGCAGTCTTGAAATGCTCTTGTCACCGGGCTTTCGAGAAGCCTGGGAACCGTCTCTGTGAGCATGCGTGCTTCCATCAGCTGTCAACTCCTGGGCCCTGCGTGGCGTGTCCTCCGCCCCTCACCCTTTCCCCTCTGACCCTGTCTCAGGTTCCCGGACACCAGTCTGTTTTCATGAACGAGCCGAGACTGTCGGACTTCAAACAGGTTCTCTTGCGGGAGGGGATCCAGGCCGAGTTCGTCGGAGGGGTGCTTGTTTGCAATAACCAGGTCGCAGTCCGCAGAGTAAGTAAGCTTTGTGTGGCTCTGATTTTGTTTTAGTTTGGGGAGGTGGGGAAAAGAAGGGGTAAGGAGGGTGGGCCATACCCCGTGGAGGCTTACTCCTGCCTCTGTGCTCAGGGATCACCTCTGGAAGAACTCAGGGGGGTCATTTTGGGGTGCTGGGAAATCACACCTGGGTTGACTAAGTGCCTTATCTGTGGACTGTCATCAGTCCAGCCTGGAAGAGTGCTTATTTATTTATTTATTTAGTCATTTTGGGCCACATCCGGTGATGCTCAGAGGTTACTCCTGGCTCTGCACTCAGGAGTTACTTCTGGTGGTATTCAGGGGACACTATAGGATGCCAGGGATTGAACCCAGGTTGGCGGCGTGCAAGGCTGTACCCGCTGTACTGTCGCTCCATCCCTGAAGTGTGCTTTGAAAGTAGGCAGCTGAGCCTGTGCTGCTCAGACTATCTCATTAGCCCCTCCTCAGAGCAGAAAGTCATTCGTCTTATTCATAATGATGACCTTGAGGGCTTATGCAAGTAACCCTCAAAGACATGATATATAATTTTATTGTCAGTTTTTATTATTCGAACCCTCTGACATTTACGTCCATGTAAAATTCATGACCTGAATATTATGTCCATCTTCTGGGCCCGGAGCGCCCGTTTCCTGACCAATCCTGGGTTGTCCTCTTTTGGTTACTGAGATGTATTATAGCGGATAGAAAATGTGCTAACGATCTCCTTTTTTTCCAAACTTGGTTTCTAGACTGAGACTGGACGCATTGGATTAGAAGGTTGCCTCTGTCAAGACTTTTATAGGATCAGAGACCTTTTGTATGAACAGTATGCCATTGTGTAAAGGAGGCGTTGCCAAGAAGCCTGGCCTTCCTAAGAAACAGGATTCGTACCTGATTCTGAGCTTCGCTTTTTTTTTTTTTTGGTTTTGTTTTGTAACATACAAAAAGAATTTTCCAGAAAAACTTAATATGCATTAGATTTTTTTTTTTTTTTTTTGGTAAAGGTAACAGTGTCCAACTAGTGCTCCAGTGAGATTCAGCCTTGAGCTTCCCCGACCCCAGAAGGGCTCTTTACTTGAATCCAACAATGCAACTTGGCAAACCCGTTCATGGCCTTAGTGAACAAGTTTGCATGTGTGGCTGCAAACATTTTCTAACCATTTCCTGGAACAAAAAAGTGAGAACTCTTTAGAAGATGTGCTATTTTTTTCAAAAGCGGATAAGATTGTTTTCAGAGGCCTGTCTAGTTGAAAAACAAAGGGCGTGTGTGTGTGTGTGTGTGTGTCTGTCTGTCTGTCTATCTTTCGGATTCTTGTGGACAGTAGTTTGCCCACTGTCCCGTGCCTCTGTGGTATACGTGGTGGTTGTGGTGGTTTGCCCAGTGTGAGCTGATACACACGTGACTCCGAAATCAATTTTCATTCCTTCTGAGTGTGTGTGTTTGTGTGTGTGTGTGCTGTGTATGAAGATTTTATTGTGCAGTCTGAATGATAACACCATCATTTGAATACACATGATTCAAAAGAATTCCTTGATGCCTGGAGGCATTTGAAATACTTCCTTAATTATCAGGTACTTTAATGTATTGTACTGCTACAGGAGAACAAATGTTGAACAGCACCTCTGCATACAGTAGCAGTACACTCTAAGTAAAGGTGTCAATGTTTTCTCTTCAGTTACCCAGGCAGCGGTTCAATTCTGTACCCATTGCAACCCAGATAGTACTAAAGTCGGATCAGGTTAACCATTCTCTGTTCACGGCTTTCTTGTAGCTAGCAGCCTGTAAACTACTGCGTTTAAAAAATAAAAACAATGTATGAATCTATGCACTTTTCACCGAACTGAAGCGATGCAAACCATGTCAGCAGCTGCTGATTCTTGTGTAGGATGTAGCTTAATCATGGCAGACGTTACTATTATTTTCACAAGTATTTTGGTTCTACTCTTCATACTTGCTTTTTTTAAATAAATAAATAAATAAATAAAAAGAACCAAAAGGATCCATCAACTTGTTTAGTTTAGATGGTACTCTGTACAGCATGATCCGAGCGTAATCGGAGTAGAATCAATCATTCTGTTTCAGACTTCTCTTGTGGACAATCGCGCGAATGCAGAGTTTCCAGCTTCCTGATTGTGAAAGGCAAATCCACCAAATAATGTTGCAGAAAATGAAGATAAAGAGTGCGCTTGTGTTGTAGGGCTTTGAAAAAAGATTTCACCCTTTATTACCGAAGCAAGTCTGATATTCTATTTCTGCGCTGGGGAAAGAGTCTGTTTGTTTCATGCTTTAGAGTCAGGTCATACATATTTCATTGCAATACCGATGTTGAAAAATTGTTTTTTGACTAGCTTCTTACTGTCTCATGTACAGGCATTAAATTTTAAAGCACTGTTTCAGCGCGACTGTGCCCATTAATATCATCACAGGAGCGGGACTTCGACCTCTTTCTAAATGATGGTATTTCTACAGAGGCATTTGTATATCCTCCGTTATTGGAGAAAAATATGCATTTAGAGAAGGCTTCATAAGAAATCATCACCTTGGGACTTTTCAAATCTTTATTGTTTAGAAGCAAAATAAATTCAAATGGCCTCTCAGCTGATATCTGTAAAGAATTTTTGACAGTAATAGTTGTTGCCTTGGGACATAAGTGTCAGCATCATAGAAACATTTCTATGTTTTCTTGAACCAACAGGTGATCCGAGATAGAAGTGAGGAAATTTGTTTTCTAATATGTTATTTATTTTTAGCATTTTGTATTTATTTTGTTTTGGGGACACATTCTACTTACTTCTGGTGGCCTCTGGGGATCATGTAGGCTTTGTTTTTCTTTTCGTTTTTTTTTTTTTTTTTTGCACAGCAAGCACCTTATTGCTGTAATATCTCTCTGACTTGGGCCTTTTCAATGATATTCTCAGTTTTTTACAACATTTGGGACTAGCTGCTGCAGGTTTTCAATACAAAAAGGAGTTCCATGCCTCTAGCAGGTCTTCCCAATTGTTCCCTTTTCCCCTCCTCAGTTCCAATCTACCTTAATCAGTATTTTCTTTTTTTCTTTCTCTCTTTTCCATTTGTTTGTTTGGGGGCCCAGCAATCCTCAGCATTTATTCCTGGCTCTGTGCTCAGGGATCACTCCTGGCAGTGCTCAGAGTACCAGATGTGGTGCCAGGATCGAACCAGACCCACTGTTTGCCAGCCAGGAGAGATTATAGCACCCTGCCCACTACTCTCTCCAGCCCCTTAGTCCGTGTTGTGTGGCCTTGAGTTTGCTAGGTTGGACAGTCCCTACAAGCGGAGTTTGATGCTCTGTGCCCTCGTCTGTCTGGCTTTTTTTTTTTATCTTAGCATAATCTTTCCAAGATCCATAAAGCCTTGACCTCTAACAGTCTCCTGTTCTTCCACCATGTGAATTTTATTTTTTCTGTTACTTTTCTGTTCAGTCAGCTCACTTCAGCTTTGGGTTTGGGTTTCCACTTTGTGACAACTGTGGCGGCGAGCGTTTGTGTGTGTTTGTGTGTGTTGTTGTTTTGTATGCACACGTTGTCCATTCTCTTCCCTCGACGGACTCGGGTTGCTGGGTCACGTGGTCACTGTTGGTCCAGCCTTTTCAGGGGGTGCCAGATGGTGTCCCTACACGGCTACGCCAGCCCTCACCAGCCCTCACCAGGGTTCCCATGGCTTCCTGTGCCTGGCCTCGCTCTTGTGGTCCTATGAGTGGTAGATGGTATCTGAGGAGCCTGTCAGTGGCCGTGATGGCATTTTCCTGATGCCTGATGACATTGCCCTTAGTCTGTCTCCTGGGAGCTACCTTTATCCTTGGTCCAATTTAAAATTTACTGGTTTCTCTTTTTCTTTTCTTGGGTAAGGGGAGTAGTCTCAGCATGGTGGTGGCTGGTTCTGGAGGTCTTCAGCTGCCGGAGCCCTGGTCCGGGCGGGGAGGGAAACTCAACCCGCACCCCTCCAAGGTGCCCCAGCGAGGACAGCCAGGTGCGGGGGCAGGAGACTCTGTGCTTTTTTAAAAATCTCAGGGCTAGGACGAAGGAGACATTATTGGGGCCTGCTTGAGGCAATCGACAAATAACAGGATGGTCGTGATCATCGTGGGTAAGGGGAGTATCGGTGGCGTGAGAGGCTCCTCCATCTGTGGCCAGGGGGCCTGGGGGCCTCTCTGGTGGTACTCACCTGGCTGTGCCACCCTGATGCATCACTGCTGATCTACTGCAGCCAGCTGGCAGCTCTGGGAGCCACCTAGACTTGGTGGCACTTGAGGGACCACTCAGGGCTGGAATTTGGGGTCCCCATATTCAGGGGAGATGACCCAGGCCTTTACGCTATCTCCTCGGCCTCGGTTACTTAGCTTTTAATTTTTTTTTTTTTTTTTTTTTGCTTTTTGGGTCACACCCGGCGATGCTCAGGGATTACTCCTGGCTCATGCACTCAGGAATTGCTCCTGGCGGTGCTCAGGGGACCATATGGGGTGCTGGGAATCGAACCTGTGTCGGTCATGTTGGCTGCGTGCAAGGCAAATGCCCTACCCGCTGTGCTATCGCTCCAGCCCCCCTTAGCTTTTGATTGTTGAAATGTGAGTTTTCTGCACATACAGATCCATAGTCAGTCTATGTACAGAATCTCTTACCTGACGTGTGGTTCCCAGAGTTCTGCAACTTCACTTGCTTGTGCCGACAGGTGTTGAATTTGATGACTCCTAAGGATCCTTCTCTTTGTTTCCCGCTGCCCTTGATGTCATCTGTCAGAAACCATTAACCATCACAGCGAGCTCAACCTGCTTTTCCTCTCATTTCTTTTCGTTTTTAGCTCTTAGACTTAGGTCTTTGATCTGTTTGAGTCAATTCTGTAAATATGGTATGATAAATATGGTATGGTCCAGGTTATGCCCCTGTATATGGGAATTCCTCTGTCTTAGCACTGTTTGTTGAAATGACTGTTTTCCTCGATAAATTCTCTTAAGGCTCCCTTTGCCCATCAGCTGCCCACAAATATATGGTTTTTTTTTCTTTTCTTTTCTTTTTGCAGAGGGTGGCACACCTGGCGGTGTTCAGGGTTTCCACCTGACTCTGCTCAGGGGACTTTTGAGTGCTAGGATGGAGCCTGTGTTCAGCATGCGCCTTGGCCTGCTGTACCGTGTCTCTGGGCCCAGAGTTTATTTTGAGGCTCCCAATCCTCTTTTTTTTTTTTTTTTTTGCATCACACCCGGCGATGCACAGGGGTTACCCTGCCTCTGCACTCAGGAATTACCCCTGGTGGTGCTCAGGGGACCATATGGGATGCTGGGAATTGAACCCAGGTCAGCCGCATGCAAGGCAAATGCCCTTCCTGCTATGCTATCACTCCAGTTCCTCACAATCCTCTCATGGGCCCCTGTGTTTACCTCATGCCACAGGGTTCAGGTTACTATCACTTTGCTTTAACAGTCAAAGTTTACTGTAAGTCTTTGTTCCCTTCAGGATTATTTTGACTCTTCTGGATCCTTTATATTCCCATATACATTTTAGAACAAGCTCATGATTTCTTTTTGTTTGTTTGTTTTTGTTTTTGGGTCACACCTGGCAATGCACAGGGGCTACTCCTGGCTCTGCACTCAAGAATTACCCATGGTGGGGCTGGAGCAATAGCACAGAGGGTAGGGCATTTGCCTTGCACGTGGTCAACCCGGGTTCGATTCCCAGCATCCCATATTATCCCCTGACCACCGCCAGGGGTAATTCCTGAGCGCAGAGCCAGGAGTAACCCCTGTGCATTGCCGGGTGTGACCCAAAAAGCAAAAAAAAAAAAAGTAGAATTACCCATGGCAGTGCTCAGGGGACCATATGGGATGCTGAGAATCGAACCTGGGTCGGCCGTGTGCAAGACAAACGCCCTACCCGCTGTGCTATCCCTCACATCTTAGAATGTTGTCATAGCTGAAGGGGACCGTCGATTTGATCTAGTCGGACACTTATTTTGCTTTCGAATGACTGGGCCATGGGAGGGAAGGATTTGCTCGGGAGCAACGTTGTTGGCCATGGACGGGCTTGTCACTGGAACACCGTCTTACAAAATCCTGACAGTCAGTACCCACCATGGTAGGAGGAAAGGAAGGGGAAATAACACTTCTCTCATTATTTTTTTGTTCTTGGGCTACACCTGGCAATGCTACTCCTGGTGGTGCTCGGGAGACCATATGGGATGCTGAGGATCACACCCGAGCTGGCCATGTGCAAGGCATCTGCAGCCCTACCTGCTGTACAATCGCTCCGCCCTCTCAAGTATAAGGTTCTAGCTTGTCACTGCATGGCTATTCCAATTTTTTCCCTCCCATTTTTTTTTTTTTTGCTTTTTTTGAGTCACACCTGGCGATGCACAGGGGTTACTCCTGGCTCTGCACTCAGGAATTACCCCTGGCGGTGCTCAGAGGACCATATGGGATGCTGGACATCGAACCCAGGTCGGCTGCGTGCAAGGCAAATGCCCTACCCACTGTGCTATTGCTCCAGACCCTCCCTCCCATTTTTATCACCATCCCACGTCATCGTAGTTCTCTGCATGCATCTTTCCAACACCACACCCACCTGCCAAATTGCTCCTGCTCTTGGCCACTGTGATTTATGCTTCATTCATTCATTCATGCTTCATCATTCATTCATTCATTCATGTGTGGCATGCAAATGCCTTCAGTCCTCTTGAATATGCACCCAGTGGGGCTGCCTGCTGAGCTGGAAACTTCTAGGGGCGGGAACCATAGTACCGCAGGCAGCAGGTGTTTGCCTTACGTCTGTCCCACCTGGGTTCGATCCGCATCACTTCCTGTGGTCCCCCCAGCCCTGCCAGGTATCAGTCCTCAGCACCACTGGATGTGGCCCCAAAACCAGGAAAAAGAGAAAAAGAAAAAATAAGTTGGTTCTAATGAATTTGAACTCTTCCTTACTCATAGGCATCAGGGTTGCCTGATGTTTCCTCTGCTGCAACCCTAGGCTCAACCATTCCTCCTGAGACCTGTTTTCCCTCAAAGGAGACACTGGTCTGGCCTGGTGCTGGCTTCCCGAGTGAGGAAACACGCTGCCCCATTTTCCGCCGGCCGTCAAAGCCCACAAGTGCGCGCGGACATACAGTCTCCCTCCGCCCGTTTTCTCCTATTCTCCCTCTTTCCCATCTTTGTGCCTCCTCTGTGCTGGGAAAGAGAGCCCCAAGCCTTCACCTGTCCCCTCACTGGCTTTCTCTCCCTGCACGCGGCTGCCACAAGGAGGTCATCTTCTGTCTCAGCCCCCAGCAGCAGGGATTTTGTTTCACCGTGTTTGTGGTGACGGGGATGGAATCCTAGGGCGGCACCTGTGTGAGGAGTGAGTGAGGAGTGAGTGCTGCCACTGAGCCACACCCCCAGCCCCACAGCAGGT